CATACATGTACATGTATATACATACATGTACATGTATATACATACATGTACATGTATATACATACATGTACATGTATATACATACATGTACATGTATATACATACATGTACATGTATATACATACATGTACATGTATATACATACATGTATGTATATACATGTACATGTATGTGTATACATGTACATGTATGTGTATACATGTACATGTATGTGTATACATGTACATGTATGTGTATACATGTACATGTATGTATATACATGTACATGTATGTATGTGTATACATGTACATGTATGTATGTGTATACATGTACATGTATGTATGTGTATACATGTACATGTATGTATGTGTATACATGTACATGTATGTATGTGTATACATGTACATGTATGTATGTGTATACATGTACATGTATGTATGTGTATACATGTAACATGTATGTATGTGTATACATGTAACATGTATGTATGTGTATACATGTACATGTTATGTATGTGTATAACATGTACATGTATGTATGTGTATACATGTACATGTATGTATGTGTATACATGTACATGTTGTATGTGTATACATGTACATGTATGTATGTGTATACATGTACATGTATGTATGTGTATACATGTACATGTATGTATGTGTATACATGTACATGTATGTATGTGTATACATGTACATGTATGTATTTGTATACATGTAATGTATGTATGTGTATACATGTACATGTATGTATGTGTATACATGTACATGTATGTATGTGTATACATGTACATGTATGTATGTGTATACATGTACATGTATGTATGTGTAATACATGTACATGTATGTATGTGTATACATGTACATGTATGTATGTGTATACATGTACATGTATGTATGTGTATAATGTACATGTATGTATGTGTATACATGTACATGTATGTATGTGTATACATGTACAGTATGTATGTGTTACATGTACATGTATGTATGTGTAATACATGTACATGTATGTATGTGTATACATGTACATGTATGTATGTGTATACATGTACATGTATGTATGTGTATACATGTACATGTATGTATGTGTATACATGTACATGTATGTATGTGTATACATGTACATGTATGTATGTGTATACATGTACATGTATGTATGTATACATGTACATGTATGTATGTGTATACATGTACATGTATGTATGTGTATACATGTACATGTATGTATGTGTATACATGTACATGTATGTATGTGTATACATGTACAGTGTATGTATGTGTATACATGTACATGTATGTGTATACATG